GCCACAGAACTTTCTTTTTCTTCAAGACAGCTCCTATAACTTTCTGTGTAAGATCACTCATGTTTGGAGGCATGTGAACGCAGAAATGATGAACTTTTCACAGATCAGACAGTCATTTCTAGATGCCACCACCAGAGATAGTCAACTCAGCTCTGAAGACCCCCTTTGCAGAGTCTGTGCAAGGATGGGATGGACCGTTGTTGCCAACAGTATTGTTGTCATTGTCATTATCTCAGTTTGCTTCTTTGTGCACTTCCTTGCAAGGTACATGACTCCAACATCTGGCTCAGCCCTGGAGCAAGTACTCTCTTTGCAGTACAGTGTGGTGACCCCAATGCTAAACCCCCTCATCTACAGTCTAAAGAACCAGGAGGTAAAGACAGCTCTGAAGAGGATGCTGGCCAGGAAGTCCAGGCGTACCTTCTAACCCAGGCTCTCCTGCCTCGCCAGCCAGAACCATTATGGGGAGAAGAAGAGGCAGGAAAAAGCTATCAGCACTCAGCTAGAGATCTGCATTCATCCCTTTCCACAACAGTGCCCTTAACTTCTCTTCCTCCAGGGCCCTGCTGCTTTCCAAGAGACGGACGGAAACTTCCACAGAGCAGGTGATACCTCTCCTCAGGGGGCCAAGTCCCTCCACAAGAAAATCTTCAGGGCTTCACTAGCCATTTCTACAGATGTCACCTTTCCCTCTTGTTTCTTGACCTTTTTAACCTTCCTATTTCTGCCTCTCCTTCTCCCTTTTACTTTTGTCTGTGTACAAAAAGTAAATCAACCTATCAGACCACTAGCAAATATCCCGCTGCATTCTGGGACAGTCCCATCTTAACACTGTGAGACCCAACTCTTGCTTTGTTCTCATCCTGAAAGACCCCTAGAAAGATGTACATCTTCATAATACCTTGGAAAGAAATAAAATAAAATAAGTGTGCCTCCTGTCTTCATCCTTAACAAGTAGCACCTAAAGTAGAGCCTGGAAAATAGCCAATCCTCAATAGCCATTTGCTGGCAAATTAAGAAATGGATGAGAGAATGAATGTGGATCCATCTGAAGAGTCTTTTCCCCCTGCATGGTCCTAGGAAATGGGAGGAGGTGAATATTTCCCCTTTAAAGTATAAGGTCTCAAGAGCAAAACCTCTGTCTAATAGCTTCTGTATCCCAGGTGTCTAGTAAATCCTGTCATCTAATAGACAAATGAAGAAAAAATGAGAGAGAGAGAATGTGGGGGGGAGGTACATATGAAAAAGAATATTGAATTTTATCTAATAAAATTTCTGCCTTTATAACAAGATAGATGTCAGAGGAAAGTAGGAGGGAAGAGAAATCAGGACTGGAGGAAAGAAAGAGACTCCATGTTGTCGGGCTCCATCCTGAGTCCTCACACAGAGCTCAGTGAATGATCTGCATGCTGACAGCCCCGCCCAGAACCTCCCCGCCTCCCACCTTCGCCTGGCCCACTTCCGGTTGCTGCCCTGGCTCAGGACCTAGTTCCAGGCCCAGAGGAGAAAGAAGGAGTTGGAGAAAGCAGAACAGATGCTCAGCCACCATCCCACCTCCTGTTCAGCTCCCAAGAAAGTTTCTGGGAAGAGAGCAACAGTTTCCTGTCCTGCTTCTACCCAAAGGTTAAGATCTGCATCTATCAAGACAACTTCCATGCCAAAAAAAAATTGGTAGCTATGTGAGGTGATGGATATGGTAATTACCTTGATTGTAGTGATCATTTCAATGTACACATGTATCAAAACATCAAGTTGTAGACCTTAAATATATACCATTTTTATTTGTAAAAAAGGAGGAGGCAAAGGAGAAGATGAAGACTACTGGTGACTCTACATCATAAAGATGATCTAGCCATATTTGGCTGGATAAAGGAGGCTACTTATTTATTTATTTTCTCAATAAAATAATTCATAATTCAAAGGACACCATATTAAAAGAAATGTATGAGCCAGTAAGGAAAAAAGTAAATACAGACTAGGAACAAGAGAGAGTTCGCCTACAAATTCCAAAGAACACAGCATTTGCTTATTTGTTTTAGTTCATGGGTCATTTCACAACTGAACACACTAAAATCGAACTGAGTAAAAGCACATAAAAACTGCTCCGTAGTACTGGTTTATGGTAGGGATCTATAAACATTTGTATCATAAGCCACTGTAATAATAAATGAATGAATATGCTTTTTAAAAAAAGACTGTTTGACCAGGCACGGTGGCTCACACCTGTAATCCTAACTCTTTGGGAGGCTGACGCAGGAGGATCACTCAAGGTCAGAAGTTCGAAACCAACCTGAGCAAGAGCAAGACCCCATCTCTACTAAAAATAGAAAGAAATTAATTGGACAACTAAAAACATATAGAAAAAATTAGCCAGGCATAGTGGCACATGCCTGTAGTCCCAGCTACTCAGGAAGCTGAGGCAGGAGGATTGCTTCAGCCCAGGAGTTTAAAGTTGCTGTGAGGTAGGCTGACACCATGGCACTCAAGCCTGGGTAACAGAGTGAGAATCTGTCTCAAAAAAAAAAAAAAAAAGACTGCTTGAATGCCAGCTCCCTGGCTTCTATATGCTCTTGATCTTCTGACACTCAGGCTTGGATCTTCTCTACAAATAAATCTCTTATTGTCAGTTTCCTTCAGCAAAGTTTCCTGAAGATCAAAGCCTCGCATATGAGTGTACATGTCCTCACGGGAACTTTCCCGCTCTCTGTGGGATGAAGGCAAGAGGTGTGGGCCCTGCAACCCGGCCCTAACTTCAGTTGTGTTTCTGCTCTAGCCACTTGAGAGAGCTGGCCCCTCATATTTTCTACAGCATGCGGCCTTCAGCGGGTGGAGCTGAGGCAGGTTAATAGGTAAGAAGTAGATGTGTGAGTTGGGTGGGAAGAATGGCCACCTGACTCTGCCCTATCTCACACTCATACACAGTGTTTACTTCTGAAACCTTCGAGACTTGGGGGGAAGTTTTTTGTCTCATAATTAGGACAGGAATAATATGCAATATCACTGGGAGATGCACCATGTTGTGTTCAAATTCACACTAAAATTATGTGACTAATACCAAGTTATTTCCTGAGAGTTTGTTTTCATTAGATGTGGGGAGGAGGATGGCCTCTCCACCCCTGTCTAGCCCCACAGGTTCCCTAAACAGGGGGACTTCATCCGGGAGCCCATCATTTCTGATACAAGGGAAGCATGGTCTGACTGTCTATAGCCCCAGAGGGTATTGGAGTGCAAGAAGTGGAATTAGCAGTATTGAACATCTTAGGAAGGAAAGGAAGCCAGAAAGAAGATGACAATTTCATCCCCCACTAATTCAGAAATGTGGCAAATTAAATTGTAATCTTGGAAAGCTGGATTGTCAAAGCAGGAAGCGATCTCAGAAGACCATCCAGACCAAAACCTTCACTCTAAGATGATGAGATTGAGGCACAGAGAACAGAGATGAACTGCCCAGGTTCAGACCATCAATGAGTAGCAGAAACAGACTTTGGGACCCAAGTCTCCTGATTCTTCTTCTTTCGCAAATCTCATCATCATTAGAATAAATAAAGTTCTGCAAGCATCCTCCTCAAAAGCAAGCAAAGAGCAAGAAGAAATGATAGAGTGGAGGGTTCAAACCAAAGGATTTCAGGGGGCCGGCCGGGCGTGGCTCACGCCTGTAATCTAGCACTCAGGTGGCGAGGCGGAGCGGATTTCAAGGTCAGGAGTTCAAAACCAGCCTGAGCGAGACCCCGTCTCTACCATAAAAACAGAAAGAAATTAATTGGCAACTATATATATAATATAAAAATCAGCCGGGCATGGTGGCTCTGCTTGTAGTCCCAGCTACTCCGGAGGCTGGCAGGAGGTCGCTTGAGCCAGGAGTTTGAGGTTGCTGTGAGCTAGGATGACGCCACAGCACTCCACTCTAGCCTGGGCAAGAAGCGAGACTCTGTCTCAAAAAAAAAAAAAAAAAAAACCAAAAGGATTCCAGGTTCTTAATAATCACTGAGCTGACTGTAAGGGTCCCTGTTCTATCTCTGGCTCCCAGAGAAAAGAGAGGGTTCCTTTCACAGCTCTTCACAAAGAATAAAGAAATCCCTCAAAGCCTTCAAGGCACCCATTTCAGATTCTTGGGTCCCCGTCCATGATGTCTCTTTCCCACCGCACATCTCTACCAAAATTCCACCCATACTTCAACACCAGCTTAAATGCCTCCTTTCTTTTTTTTTTTTTTTTTTTTTTTGAGACAGAGTCTCACTCTGTTGCCCAGGCTAGAGTGCCATGGTGTCAGCCTAGCTCACAGCAACTTCAAACTCCTGGGCTCAAGCAATCCTTCTGTCTCACCCTCCCAGGTAGGGGGGCCTACAGGTATGCACCACGATGCCCGGCTAATTTTGTCTATATAGTTTTAGTTGTCCAGCTAATTTCTTTCTATTTTTTTTTAGTAGAGATGGGGTCTTGCTCTTGCTCAGGCTGGTTTCAAACTCCTGACCTTGAGTGATCCTCCCGCCTCGGCCTCCCAGAGTGCTAGGATTACAGGCATGAGCCACTGCGCCTGGCCCAAATGCTTCCTTTCTTGATCATTTTTCTAACATCCCCTCCCAATATAAATTAGTCTTCCTTTTGTGAATACCCAGGGCACATTTCTAACCTCTCTTAGGATGCTTATAACACTATTTCTTGTATTATAACAATTTATTACTGTTTATCTTATCTCTCCTATTAGTCCTTGAGGGAAGAGACCCCTTTAACCAAACTTGGATCCCTTTATAGTTCTTTGAATATACAAGGTGATCAATCAAAGTGTGTTGAATTGGTACAGAAAGTAACCCACATCTTTATGTTGCAAAGGTCAGCCTGCTTCTTCTTCAGTAGAGACAGAAGGTGGCCACGACCTACAACTTCAGTGTCCATCCATTCACCCTACTTCCTCCCCTTCCCTCCAAAAAGAAAATAAAGCCAGTGACTTCAAATCAGGCCCTTTATTCAGGACAGAGGTGGAATCTACTTCTGTAGTTGAAGTGCCATCGGGGGCACTAATCGAAGGTCTGAAGTCTAGTACAGCAGTCATGCATCCCCGGAGAGTAGTTCTGAAGAGTTCAGTGGTGTCACTACAGGGCCCAGGGCTCAGAGACAGCTTCAGGAGGGTAGGAAGAAGCAAACTGAGGTAGCATTAGGGAAGAGAAGTTCCAGGAGTATAGAGAGGGCAGGAGAGGCAAGGATAGCAGACGCTCACAACTTCTCGCAGTTCCATTGTTCCAGCTTATCAGTGCAGAGTGGTTTATGGGCCAACCTGACAATGGAGAAGGGGACAAGGTGAGTTGGTTGACTGGATCTTACCTTGAACTTCCATCCAGCTTCATTCCCAGGAGGGCTGAGGTGGAAGAGTGTGGATGAGAATTACAGAAAGACTTTCCCAGCCAGATAACAAGGAACACTAAGCCACATAGTGGGGTAAGACCCACAAAAAATAATCCAAGAAAATTGTAGGGCTAGAAAAGATGAGCAATGATACCAAGGGCTTACTTTAGGGTATAGGACTGAACAAGTGGAATTAGAGGCCCAAGACCAAGTGAGGGGAGGCCTGGGTTCCAGCCCTCCATTAGCAAATCCCTTATTAGGGAAGTTGCAAGGAAGGCTTAAAAATGTAAACCTGCTTCTGCTAGATGAGTTTTGTTTTGGAAACTATATTCAAGATTAAGTGATCAAGAGATAGAGAGAGAGGAAAGTGGTACTGGCATAATGAGGGAGGGGCAGGAGGAAGGGGAAGTGGAAAATAAAATGATGATTCACCAGTAGTCAATGCCTTTAATGTCCAGGATCTTCTTGGCACACTCTATGTCATCAGTAAGGTCACCATCCAGGAACTCTGGCAGGAGTTGCAGGGAAAGAATTAGAGAGCTAAGAAGTATTAAGCATAAAGGTAATCAGGTAATGGGTTCCCCTATTCCCTGGACCCAGTGAGTCTGGTTCTTCTCTCAACTCAAAGTCTGTTGTCTTTCTGTATGAAAAGACCAATACAGTAATGTCTCCCCCTGGATCTTAGTTTGGTCTTAGCCTGGGGACTTCCTGGTACATCTTTGGAGGAATCATCTGCATCTGAAAATGCAGAGTATCAGACTTTAAGACTCCCAGACAACTCAGATATTTTACCCCCGAACTTCAGGGCACAGTCTGGGGATTTGGTGATCACGAAAAATCTAAACAGCTTCTTACTCAGCTTCTAACAGCTTCTTACTGTCAATTCAAGTCCCACAATTTTTGTGGAGTCCAACCAAGGCAGTGAACCCAGATGTGTGCTCGACACCAAAAAGGAGATTATCCCGGGGGCAGGCTCCAGAAAACCAGAGAAACAGGATTATAGAAGCTACTCACTGTCACAGGAGATACCACAGATGTTCCTTGACTCAGGGATCTGGTCGCTACTACACCAGTGCTTATTACTGATCTGGAAGAGTCCATATTCTGTGCTTCCATCATTTTCGACTAAGGCTTGTGTGTCATAAGCACTGGCATGAAATAGAGTACATATCACTGAAGGAAAGATGAAAAAGAGATGTCCAGGATGAGCATAATTGAGGAGCAGAAAAATGCTTTCTATTCAATCTCCAAAGATGGCAAAGCACAGAGTATCTTGATGAAATAAGAAGAAAAGTTCCAAAAAAGATCAGACAATGGGAGAAAGGAAGGATAGAAGAATAAATGAAATGAAAGAGTACACATATAAGCCAAGAAGACAAGAAATGATTAGATCACTGAGTGAAAGTGGAGGAGAGAAAGGGAAGAAAAGGAGGATGGAGAAAAGAAGCAAATGAGGAATAGGAAGAAACAAGGGAGCAGGGAACTTACATTCAGGCAAAGTGAAATCTCTATACTCATTCATGTCCTTCAGGAGATGGAACATCTCACATTTCGTGAACTGAACAGCCTGTGTGGCAGGGAATAGGATGGTCACTAGGAGCAAAGGGACAAAGGACATCATTTTGGCTGCCCCCAAGAACATGGAATGAGGGCACCACTCAGCTTCACCTCCTTTTATTCATGCAGAAAGCCCCAGAGGCCCTGGCCCTATATCCAGGAAGTGGATGAAGAGAAACTGGTGATGCCAAGACAGAAACACTGAGCCTGCCAGCTTCCTTCCGTAATTCACCCTACTTTTCCTTTCCCTTCCCCAATTGTTCTCTACCCAGAAAGAGTTCTAAGCATGATCCTGTTTCCTATTTGGCTTTGTTTACCCCTTTGTTTCTTATATGGTTGGTTCTAGGAAGCAAGGTGTCCCCAGCTACTTTAGGAACAAAGGAGGCCTCAGGGGCAATACAAAAAAGGCAATCAGAAAATACAATAAGGATCCATGGCCAATTCCCCCTTTTCTCCTAGAAAGGGAAATACAGAATGTAAAAAGGGAGTGTATCACCTGCGATGGCCCCAGGATCGGAGCTGGCACTTGTCCAACCAACCCAGCCATGGAAAAAAGTCCAGAAAGAGTCCCATGACATGGTGGTTCATGGCTGAGGTCTCAGAGATGGGGATAGAATATGGAGATGTAGACTGTGAGAATCAGATATAACATGATCCCTAGACTTCCTACTTCAGGAAAATGGGCAATTCAAAAAGCCTGTATGGAAATACCTAGCTATCCTATGTCCTATTATCAGGTTCCCCACCCCCAACCACCCCTACCATCAATAACCAGATACTACAGTAGAATTAAGACACTGTGTAAACCCAGGACTAATAACTTGTGCTATACTGGTTCATTAGTAGAGGAACTTGTAGACAACCTAGCAGATTGCCACAGAAAGTTATAAAGAGGGTGACCTAAGCCAGTGGGAACATTGGACATAAAGCACTTTAAGATTGAACAAGCAGTATCTGGAGCTTACAAAACAAGTTTCTGGCTCTGAGCTATAAGGCCAATGCCCTTGAACAAGTAGAGTTGAGGGTACTAGTTCTGAATAATTCCTTTAATCTGCTGGCATCAAGCTTCATGTCATTGTGCCAGTACCTGTTAGCCTCCTTCGTGCCAGGGCTCATCTGCTTTATTCCAATATCTAAACCTGATTTCTTATATTTCAGGGGATATTCATCCCAGTCAAACTATTTAATGCTTACAAACTGAAGATCTTCCATGTTGTTATCTTGTATATGTCTTCTGACTTAGGGAAAATTCTTTTCAGTTTAATCTGTCTTCTATACCATGGGCAACCCAGTATATGAAGTGGCACAAGTGAAACTAGTGTGGGGGATCTTGGTGTGCCAAGTGGGATGAGCAGAAAGTCCTGATAGCAGAGAGATACATATTCAGAAATACAGCAAATTGCTGCCACTGCCTTTCTCCTTATTCCACCCAGAGGCATCGGAAGGGCACACAACAGGAATAGGCATTCTATCACACTAAGCAAGTTTTGTTGACAGTATGGCTGGGAGTGAGCAGATGACCTTGGACCATGTGGGAGAGGGACCAATAAGAAAAGCCAGTCCTGCGGACTAGCTTTTCCAGCAGTGGAGTCTTGTGTAAAATGCCTCCTGCCCTGGGTATGGACTAAGTACCTACAATAAAGTAAAATGGCCAGCCAGGGTCTCGGGAATCACAGGGGCTTTCTACACTTGCAGCCAAGTCAAGATCTAAGGCAGCGGCCTGCTTGCCTAGAATTTGATTCTGCCTCTGCGCTTCTCTGTACGCAGTGAAAATCAGCACACAGGTCATGAATCACAACTAAGCACAGAAAAGAAAATGAATGTGCCTCAGGCAAGAAGAACCATTGTTTCCCTAGAAATGTTTGTAAAATAGGGCATCTGGGGTCATCTGAAAAGGAGAAGAGATGTCTAATGAGAACAAGTGCAAACATTCAGAGAAAGATGTAGTAGCTTCTTGGAGATGGTCCAAAAGAGGGCAGTGAGCCATCATTACAGCACTGAAAGAGGAAGCATATGGAAAGACACAAACACATAATGCAGAAAAGCTTGAGATTAGGTTAGGGAACCCTGCGGAGGAGGCCAAGATCTGAATCAAAATGGTGAAGAGGCATTTAGCAGACACTTTTCTGGATTTTTTCAGAACTATACCAGAAAGCTATGTTCATTCCCTCAGATGCTGTGGTAAAAATCATGGTTTCTAAAACCAGGAATCATCTTTTTAAAGGATTTTTAAAAGTTAAAGAATCAAAAGCTTCTCTTTCAAAGCACATTTGCCATCTGAAACTGTAGTTTGTAGGTGAGTGGTAGTTTACAGACAGAGCCACAGCTACCCTTTGGAGGGAACAGACTGAGGGCCACAGTAACACTGATTATTACTTCTTACAGTCAGTATCCTCACCTTATTCTACTTCCTCCCATAATTGAGAAAAATTATCAGTAGGTAGAAAATGAAGCTAGATCTTGGACTTGAAGCCTAAATTTCACACAAATGTTTAATTGAATTCGAGAGTTAATTGAAGCAATTAAGATTTGGAAAAGGAGTGATTTCACTTTTAGCACTTTTCTTTTTTAGTTGCTTGTACAAAAGTCCATGCAAAGTTACTTAGCACTATGGATTCACGTACACCACACCAAAAGTCTGCTTTCAATTAATATAGGATTATTTTGAATTGTTGTATTTGGATTTTCTACATATTTCTATACCTGCTTTTATGCTTACATGAATCATTGATTCATTTCTATGAATTGGGAATAGTATCAACAAAAAATGCACATATGCAAATGTAAATTATAATACACAAATTATTTTAAAATATATTAACTAAGATGAATTTTACCTTTTTAACTGAATATTAGCTAAAACAAACTGATACACATGTAATTACCAAAAAGGTAATAAAATTTCTGTCATATCTTAATAGATATTTTCATTCTTAATTTATAAAATGTTTATTTTTAAATAAACATATCTTTATATAATTTTCCATCACTATCTTTAATAGAATCTTACGTCCTATTTTTTGTTAATGTGATGCTTTTTCATTTACTTTTTGAGTTGGCTGCGCTCTCCCCCTCCTCATTTCTTCCCTGCCTCATATCATGCTGTTAACTCATATTAACAATCTACCATGTATTTTTATTAATTATTGTGCATACATATATGATTTTGCTATTCATTAAAAATTTTTTAATCCATCTATAATTCTATCTGGGTTCCCTCTTCTTTTTAACTTGTCATATTTGTCTATTCTAACATAAATATTGATTTTTTATTTCATTGCAGTGGCTTTTTGGTATGTTCTGATATCTATTAAAACTATGACAAGTCTTCCTTGTTTATTCTTTTCTTTTAGAAAAATAATTAAACTTTTTATTTTCAAAATAAAGTTAAACCAAGGGAGGATGGGCAAAATGGCTGACCAGAGACATCACTTGTCAGACCATCCCAGAGAGTAGGAAGGGTTTTGGATAGGGGAGCCAGGAGGGGGGGTACAGCACAGGTGAATTTCAGTGAGAAGTGCCAGAGCCTGCTGAGGCCTCATGGAGGAAATTGGAAGGCAGAGACGGAAGAGGATAAAGGAAAAAAAGATAATGGCAAGGACCAAACCCAGGGAGGTTCAGAGCCCAGAGAAGGGATAAGGGGAGATCCCTTTCTCCCTCTCACAATCCTTCAGTGATCAGCAGGCTACCAAGTTACTGGGAAGCTTTTCTACCCCCACAAACCCAAGTACTGCAGCAACCACATATTTGTAGGGAGAACTTGAGTGATCCCAGAGCTTGGACACTCCAAGTGGGGTTCCCCTCCAAGGAGAGTGACCCAAGAGGCCAGAGAGCAGGCTTTCTTCCATTCAGACTCTTATCTCTCCCTGCCCCTCCCCTACCACTGCAACCAGGAGAGTACTTTCAGCTGAGAATTTGGCCCAGTTGGCGCATCCTGCAGTGTAAAGTTTGCACAGAGACTGGGGCCTCTGCCCCAGTGGGGACCTGCAGGGCACCCCATCTAGGATCTCCCTGCCTGCAGCATTTTGTGGATACACACGCCAGTGGATCAGACATGGTGGCCAGCTCTTGTGACCTCAGGACTTGAGTGGGTCACTGGAGGACACATGGGTGGGGGTGGGGATTAGGAGCTGAACTTGGGAGGTGAGGGAGCCCATGTGGGCAGAACCAATGGGAGAAAACTGCAGGGGTCCGAGACAAGGCAAACAGGGGAAGCACCCAGAGAAAAGCCACACTGTTGGCCAAGACAAGTCCTCCTGTGGGGGGGATCTCAGCCTGTGAGGCCATAGCAACCAAGCGCAGCACATTCAGGGCTGGAGGGCAGGGACAAGTAAGAGGGGTGGAGCTCACTCCCCACAGCCAGTCTAGGAAGTGCAGCCCCTTCCTCACAAGCAGCCTTTTGGTCTTGGAGAGCAGTCCTCAGCCCTCCTCTCAGTGGGTCCCCCTCCGGCCAGAAAGATGATCTTTGAGCCCTGCTGAGGCTTTACAAAGCCTTCCAGACTCACACAACCTAACCACACCCAGCCTTGCCCCTCCACACACGTCTGCTGGGGGGAGGGGGTTGCGGGGGGGGGGGGGGGTCCAAGCAACTCTCTGGGAACTACAAGGCCCTTCCCAAATCCTGGAGTATTCAAGCACTCCGCCTGATGGACTAAAACTTATTGCAGACACAAAAGAACATCTCTGTAGTTGGCTGTATCCTGCAAGCATCAACCACTGACAGGGAGAACAACTCTATAGCTCATCTTAGCAGCTACCAACTCAATCAAATAGGGCATGGCTGGTTCTCACAAGTATCATCCACCATCTTGGAGATTAAGCTAGGGGCTCCAATACAGTTCACACTGCTTTGAAGAGGGAAAGACAGCAGGATGCAAGCAACCTAAAGGGACACTGCTTTATAAGAGAAAAACAAAAGTTACAAGCAGCTCAATCTATGAGGGGTCTCTCTCCTCCACTGCAGACCTCTGGACTGATCAGGGAGCTGCTCAGAGTCTGTGCAGAGACATTCCACCATGGAGGAGGTACAGCAGAGAGCTGATGCCTGCCAATACCAGGTTTGTG